CTCAGGCAATCCACTCACCTCAGCCTCCCAAAGGCGTGGGATTACAGGCTAAGCCACCAAGCCCGGCTTCCACTTGCCTTTTTAAAGAGACATGATGCTTTTTCTACTCTGGATAAAGTTACGCAGCATTAATAGCACTAATAAGGTATATAATTCAGGTTGGTATGAAGAGATAACAAACTCTAAATTCTCTTTTTTTTTTTTGAGTCAGAGTCTCACTCTGTCACCCAGGCTGGAGTGTAGTGGTATCTCATGCCCACCCCAGTGTTGAGATGCTGGGCTCAGGCAATCCTCCCGCCTCAGCCTTCCAAGTAGCTGGAACTATAGGCACAGGCTACCATGCCTGGCTAATTTGTTGATACATTGTAGAGATGAAGTCTCACCAAGTTACCCAGGCTGCTCTTGAACCCCTGGGCTCAGGCAATCCTCTTGCTTCAGCCTCCCAAATTGCTGGGATTACAGGCTTGAGCCACCACGCCTGGCCAACCCTGAATTCTCAATGGCTTGACACAACATAGGGTATTTGTGTTGTATGTGTTTTGTTTTGTTTTTGCTGTTTGTTTCGCTTGAGATACATCTCAAGATGTAACTTTTAGGTTGCCACAGCAGGGAAAAAAACAGAGATAATTTATACCCACTCTTACCTGGCTCTGACTAGAAATGGCACAAGTCATTTCTGTCCACAGTTCTTTACCCAGAAGTAATCACGTGGCCCTACCATTTCTGCAGGGGAGGCTGAGAATTGTAGAGTAATTGTTGGATATTTGCTGAGCATTCCTGTCTCTGCTACAGAGTTAATTTACAATCATACGTTCTCAGGCAAAACTGGAGCAACTCTGTTATTGACAGTGTTACTTTATTTTAAAATCTGAAAGTAGTGATTCAGAAGTTTCCCTGTGTGGTTCACTAAATTGCCTGTAGAGCAGTTAGCTTTCCTTAGTGGATGCTTTACAAACTCCTTCATCATGTGTCTTCAGTGAAAAAATCTTTATCCCTGGTCACAAGCCTAAGTGTTTGTAGTGCGCTAGGTACTCAGAGAAGAAAATACAAAGATAAATAAAATCTGACCTCTTCTAAGTATGAGGCCTAGGAGACAAACATGTATGAGATAACACGATAAGCCAGGCACAGTGGTTCATTCCTGTGATCCCAGCACCTTGGGAGGTGTGGAGGTAAGAAGATTGCCGGAGCTCAGGGGTTCGTGACCAGCCTGGGTAATTTGGCAAGACCCCTCGTCACTACAATAAATCAAAAAATTAGCCAGACGTGGTGGTGCTACTTGGAAGGCTGAGGCAGAAGGATCACCTGAGTCTAGCAGGTCCAGGCTGCAGTGACCATGAACATACCACTCCAGCCTGGGAGACAGAGTGAGACTCCAATTCCAAAATGAAATAAAATAAAATGCTGTATTGTGTAGCATCAATAATAGATACTCAATTAACAATAGCTATGAATACAGTTCAAGGCAAAGTAATAAAACTGTCGTGCAATTTTAAAAAGTGCTATTAACAGAGAGGGAAAGATAATTACTGACCGGGTGCAGTGGCTCATGCCTATAATCCCAGCACTTTGGGAGGCCCAGGTGAGAGCCCAGGTGAGAGCTGGTTCAAAACCAGCCTTGGCAACTTGGCGAGACCTCATCTCTACAATAAATCAAAAAATCGGCTGGGCATGGTGGCGCATGCCTGTAGTTCCAGCTACTTAAAGGGCTGAGGCAGAAGGATGGCCTGAGCCCAGCAGGTCAAGGCGGTGGTGGCCATGAGCATGCCACTGCCCACCAGCCTGGGTGACAGAGTGAGACTCCAGCTAAAAAAAAAAAACAAAAACAAAAAACCTATTATTTGGGACGACAAAGGACTATGAAAGATGACAAATCAAAGGGATAGCAATTAGAAAGTTGTTATGATAGCTTTTCTCAACTTACATAGTGGGAACGGACTGTTAGAATTGACATGTGGATTTAAAATCTCTTCAAATGGGTATAAGTATTAGGAGGGATGGTACAAAAATATACATTTCTGCACTCAAGAAGCTGTCTGGTAGGCTGGGCGCAGTGGCTCGGCCTATAATCCCAGCACTTTGGGAGGCCGAAGCGAGAGGATTGCCTGATCCCGTGGGTTCAAGACCAGCCTGGGCAACTTGGTGAGACCTTGGCTCGACAATAAATTACAAAAACGAGCCAGAAGTGGTGGTGTGTGTCTGTAGTTCCAGCTACTTGGAAGGCTGAGGTAGAAGGATCGCCTAAGTCCTGGGTGGAGGCTGTGATGGTTGTGTGCCTGCCGCTGCACTCCAGCCTGGGCGACAAGAGTGAGACTCCAACTCAAAGGGAAAAAAAAGCTGCCTGGTGAGACTAAGTATAAATATAGGTAACTTTCATATTACCTGTTGATTTATTAAGCAATTCCTTCATTTTATTCCTCTCTCATATCCCTGTTCTCCTTCTCCTGGCTTCCCTAGTCTGTTTTGCAACTGGCATCTTTTCACTTTCTATGTAAGGCCTATTATCTTTAAGCTCACTTTTGGGGTTCTTCACTTAACATTTTCTCAGATTTGTCTCCTGAAATCCCATCCTTCCCCTCACCCTGTTTCAGAGGTTTCAGTGTACAGTTCACCAAGTTGCCTACTGAGCATTTTACTGTCACTTAGCTGATGCTTTACCTACTCCCTCATTACATGTCTCTAAGTGAAAGATGCTTTATTCCAGAGCACTGCTACCAAGGAAATTGCTATAGAGAGTATAATTATAGCTATCAAATAGTGAGGAATATTGCTCTAATCTCCTGATAACTGAGGTGACTGTCACAGCTCAGAATTATGCAATATGACAACCATTAATCACTGGGCAAGCACATTAAAAGAACTTTCCTGCTTTTGGTTGTTAATGACTATGCTACCTGTGCTCCTGAACAATCTCTAATGGAATTGTTTCTTTCCATATGGGACAGAACCCTGATACAGCAGTACACAAGCTGGAACAGATACAGAGTATGAGTAGTGTCATTAGACTTAGTGGTTATAAATAGTAACAAGGGAACCAGGTATACTGCCTTACGCCTGTAATCCAAGCACTTTGCAAGGTGTAGGGGAGAGGATTGCCTGAATTCGAGGGTCCGAAACCAGCCTGAGCAACATTGTGAGGCCTCGTCTCTACCATAAATCAAAAAACTAGCCAGGTGTGGTGGTGTGTGCCTCAGCTACTAAGAAAGGCTGAGGCAGGAGGATCACCGCAGCTTCACTGAGGCCATCAGGTTGAGGCTGCAGTGGCTGTGAGCATGCCACTGCACTCCAACCTGGACAATAGAGTGAGACTCCAACTCAAAAAAAAAAGTAGTAATAAGGATCCTTTTACATAGAATTAAAATGTATGTTAGTGACATTCCTGGTACAGACATGACTCACATTCTCAGTGTTATAGCAAGTGTGAAAAATCTTATAATTCCAAACCACTAAAATGGTTTCTTTTATAGTTGGACCCTGGACATTTTTTGCACATGAGCACCCAGACACCTCAAAGCATTGCTGCTCACCTAGATACCCAGGGTCCAGTTGAGAGTCCCAGAGCTATTTTCCATACCAATGAAAATGACCCAGTAAGTTGCTAATGTATACATTGAGTTTCTCAGGGCTTATAATTTGTGTTACTATCCTCATTTTACGTATCAGTGAAGCAGAAACTTAGAGAAGCTAAGCAGATTTCCAAATAGACAATGCAGATTTTTCTTGTCTCTGTCTGATACTGCGGTAGCATAAAGCACTCAGGTTAGTCCACATCTCTTCTAATTTAATTCCTGCTAATTAAGTCACCAGGGCCAAGAGTTTTGCTGAGCATAGAGTAGGTGCATAGTAAATACTTGCTAAGATCAATTCCTTATAAGAAGGTTTACCTATTACTGATTTTATTGTATAAAATAAATGGGTGGCATACTTTTCCTTAAAGGACCAGGTAGGACCAAATATTTTTGGCTGTAATGGTCTGTGTCACAGGTACTGAACTCTGCCATGAAGAAGTAGGTGTGAGCCAGGCTCGGTGGCTCAGCCTGTAATCCCGTGCTTTGGGAGGCTGAGGTGAGTGGATTGCCTGAGCCCGTGGGTTCAGTTCCTGCCCGGACAACTTGGCGAGACCTCATCTCTACTATAAATAAAAAATTAGCCGGGCATGGTAGCGTGCGCCTGTAGTTCCAGCTACTTGGAAGGCTGAGGCGGAAGAATCGCTGGAGCCCAGCAGGTCAAGGAGCGGCCACTGCACTCCAGTCTGGGTAACAGAGTGAGACTCCAACTCAAAAAAAAAAAAGTAGGTGTGGAAGTGTTCCAGTAACACTATTTACAGAACAAGTAAGAAGCCATAGCCACCAATTTCTGGTATGGAGAAGCCTAAAGACAGTAAATTACTTGCCTCAAATCACAGAGCAGGGGAGGTTCCAAACCCAGAAACTAAGCTGGTACTATTTTCCACCCTTGTAAATGTGTTTCCTAATGTCAGGAGAAGGAACTAATTTGATTTGTTATGAGAAGAGCAGCATCAAAGTGAAGTTTGTTTGCAGAAGCCAGGATTCCAGCAGTATCTGGTGTTGCACTTTGTAGTTCAGGTTCTGTTAGGCTGAATATTATTTTCTTTTCTGCTTCCCCAGCATTGTTGCTGCCTCTCATAAATGAAATTAGTTTGTGATCTGTGCTTTAATATAAAGGGAGCCAATGGCAGTCCTTCTCCTACCCTCAGTTTTCCCTTCCTTTTTTTTTTTTGAGTCTCACTCTGTCACCCAGGCTTGAATGCAGTGGCACACTCACAGCCACCGCATCCTAGACCTGCTGGGCTCAGGCGATCCTTCCATCTCAGCCTTCCAAGTAACTGGGACTACTACAGGCTGGCTCTACCATGCCTGGATAATTTTTTTTTTTATTCTGGAGACAAGGGCTCACCAAGTTGCCCAGGCTTGTCTTGAACCCCTGGGGTCAGGTAATCCTCTCACCTCCACCTCGCAAAGTGCTATGATTACAGCCATGAGCCACCACGCCTGGCTTGTCTTCCCATCTTAATACAGGCTGTGTGGAAGGCAAAAAAAAAAACACCCAAAACCCCATTTCAACGTAGCATGTTTTAAATATCTCTGCATTCACCTATTGTTACAAGCACTAAATGAAATCAAATAAATGAATTAAGTCACTGAAGTCTTTCAGCTCTCTCTGTATTAGCGGTCCCTTTATCTGCCGATTCCTCTGGGGTTTCTATGGAAACAACAGCATGCAGATGATCTTGTCACATGACTGGAGCATCTCTATACATAGCACAGAAGAATCCAGATGGCAAGAATTGTCTCCACTACCCCCACATCTAGGGTTTACCTTGCTGAGCATCTGATTTCATTAGGCTACCACCTTTATGTACACACTGGTTCTGGATAACAGCAACCATCATTTTTGTCTAAGTTTTAAAAAATCAAAGGCATATTTTCCAGCTCTAAGAGATAAGGGTTTCTCAGCCGGGCTCGGTGGCTCAGCCTGTAATCCCGTGCCTTTGGGAGGCTGAGGTGAGTGGATTGCCTGAGCCCGCGGGTTCAAGACCTGCCTGGGCAACTTGGCGAGACCTCATCTCTACAATAAATCAAAAATTAGCCGGGCGTGGTAGCACGCGCCTGTAGTTCCAGCTACTTGGAAGGCTGAGGCGGAAGGATCGCCGGAGCCTAGCAAGTCAAGGCTGCGGTCGGGAGCAGCCACTGCACTCCAGTCTGGGTGACAGAGTGAGACTCCAACTCAAAAAAAAAAAAAAAAAAAGATAAGGGTTTCTCCAGTGTCTAGCAGGCCCTATATGGTTTTTAAAATCTTGGTCATTTTGTCAGCCGGGTGTAGTGGCTCAAGACTGTAATCCTAGCAATTTGCAAGTCTGAGGTGAGAGTATTCCCTGAGTCCAGAGGTTTGAAACCAGCCCGAGCAGCTTGGTGGAATCTCGTCTCTACAATAAACCAAAAAATTAACTGGGCGTAGCCGGGCTCCATGGCTCAGCCTGTAATCCCGCGCCTTTGGGAGGCTGAGTTGAGTGGATTGCCTGAGCCCGTGGGTTTGAGACCCGCCTGGGCAGCGAGACCTCATCTCTACAATAAATCAAAAAATCAGCCGGGCGTGGTAGCGCATGCCTGTAATTCCGGCTACTCGGGAGGCTGAGGCGGAAGGATCGCCGGAGCCCAGCAGGTCGAGGCTGTGGTGGCCGGGAGCGGCCACTGCACTCCAGTTGGGGTGACAGAGTGAGACTCCAACTCAAAACAAAAAAAACAAATTAACTGGGTGTGATGGCGCATGCCTGTCGTTCCATCTACTTGGAAGATTGAGGCGAAAGGATTGCCTGACCCCAGAAGGTTGTGGCTTCAGTGGCCATGATTGAGCCACTGCACTCCAGCCTGGGCGACAGAGTGAGACTCCAACTCAAAAAGAAAAAAATAATCTTATTCACTTTGTCTGTGTACCCGTTATACCTGTTTGTACTTTTCTTTCCTAGGCCAAGCATGGGGAACAGTATGAGGATCAACACTACAATGTCCCCCTCCAGGATTTGAAAACTGTATTTCCCCCATGACCTTCCTCCTCATTTTGGAATACAGGTACACAAAACTGGGGAGATCCCAGAAAACAAGCTGCTGATAGCCAACGGATGAAGTTAAATGAGTAGAAAATTCAAGATGAAATTTGAATCTGGGCCAGGCTCAGTGGCTCAGCCTGTAATCCCAGCACTTTGGGAGGCCGAGGTGAGTGGATTGCCTGAGCCCACTGGCAACTTAGTGAGACCTCGTCTCTACAATAAAATAAAATAAAAAATTAGCCAGGTGTGGTAACACATGCCTATAATTCCTGCTACTTGGAAGCCTGAGGCAGAAGGATCACCAAAGCCCAGCAGGTCGACGGTGGGGTGGCCATGAGTGTGCCAATGCACTCCAGCCTGGGCAACAGAGTAAGACTCCAACAACAACAACAAAAAAAAGAAATTTGAATCTGAAAACAGAAATTCAGCTATTGATTATCTTTTGTGAATACTACAGTTATTTTAAGGTAATGCTCACCTTCTGTTAACCATCTTAAATTCTTTTTGGAACCAGGTAAATATTCTTATGAATCAACATTATCAATATTTTTTCCCTTGAGTTACTCAACAAGTTTCTGGAAACTTTGGCATTCGATTAATTGTATAATTGAACTTAATATTTGCCTTGGAGAATATCACGAAAGCATAGTTTACATGCTAACACAAAAACAAAATCATAATACATTCCTGATCTGAATAGAAATAATAGTTTGATTAGATACATCATGGTTCTTATTCCTTCTCATGGATTTTCAGAAAAAAAATTTTTTTGAGTTGGAGTCTCACTCTGTCTCCCAGGCTGAAGGGCAGTGACATGCTCACAGCTACCACAGCCTCGACCTGCTGGGCTCAGGCGATCCTTCCGCCTCAGCCTTCCAATTAGCTGGAAGTAAAAGCACGTGCCACCACGAGCCTGGATAATTTTTTATTTATTGTAGAGATGTCTCTCCAAGTTGCCCAGGCTGGTCTTGAGCCCATAAGCTCAGACAATCCTCTCACCTTGGGCTCCCAATGTGCTGGAGTAAATGCGTGAGCCACCGTGCCCAGCCTCAGAAAATGCTTTGTGGCTAAAATTTCAACTCAAAGAGTATATAATCTTGGATTGATGTGTAGCCATTGAAAGAATTTATTATTAACTCCTGGCATAGTTTATTGGCACAACTGGTTCTTATAGCTAGCTACTGTTAGCATCAGAAATTATTTCTTCTTAATGAAATATCAAACTTATCTGTGCAGGTGATTTTTAGCTTAGGAGCCAGAGCATGCCATTTCTTCTCTGAGATGTATTTCAGGAAGTTAGATTAGTAATAAGGAAATAACACCAATAGAGGAGTTAATTTTAGACCATGGACAGGTTTGTCATCAAAAATTTTGTTGCCTGGGAGCAGTGGCTTACGCCTGTTATCCCAGCACTTTCTGAGCTTGAGGCGAGAAGATTGCCTGAGCCCAGGTGTTCAAGAACAGCCTGGGCAACTTTGCATGACCTCATCTCTACAATAAATCAAAAAAATTAGCCAGGCATAGTGGCATGCACCTGCAGTTCCAGCTACTTGAAAGGCTGAGGTGGAAGGATGGCCTGAACCTAGCAGGTCGAGGCTGCAGTGGCCGTGATCATGCTACTATATACTATACTCAAGCCTCGGTGACAGAGTTAGACTCCGACTCCAAATAAGAATTTTTGTTTGTTATGATTGGAAATATAAGCCAGGCATGGTGGTTCAAGCCTGTAATCCAAGAACTTTAGGAGGCTGAGTTGAGAGGATTGCCTGAGTCCAGGGGTTCAAGACCTACCTGGGCAGCTTGGCGAGACCTCATCTCTACGATAAATTTTATTTTATTTTATTTTTTATTTTTTATTTTTTTTTTTGAGTTGGAGTCTCACTCTGTCACCCAGACT